TGGAGCCTCTTAGAGGACTGGCTGGACCCCACACGCGCCTTGGGATCCGATTGGCCTAAGCCATCTATATAACGCCAGATCTCGAGGACCAGCCACAGCACCTTGGAAGGCTTCGGGCGCTTGCCCTGGGCAGAGCGGGGCATCACCACATGCAACTGCCACCGTTTACGCTTAGCGTCAAACGCCCATACTCGGAGCTCGACCCCAGTAGCATGAGCGAGAGCTTGTAACGACACAGAGTCCGCCCACTCTCCGGCCGTAGCTATGCGAGTCGCCTTGTTGCTGACGTCGCCTTGAAGATACTCGTAATCAGCAGGATGTTTCTGGAGATCCTTGGCGGCGAGGACACGCAGGTGAGCCTGAAGAACACCAGCCGGAGCCAAGTCCGCGTCCGAAAGGCTGGAGCCCTCAAGGTAGGCCAACGTGCGGCACAAGAGGTGTACGCGCAGTCGCCCTGGCCGCCGCATTCGACAACTTCAAACGCCTCACAAAATTAACAAAGCTACGGGCGGCGACCCGTTGAGTGACATCTGCAAGAACCCAGTGCGCAGGAGCCCCGACGACAGTCCATCTAGGAGCAACACAGCCTTGAGGTTCAGGGCGAGTGGCCGCCCCGACGGAAGGCGAACCCCGAGGTTAGAGCGCCCACCCGACCGGAAAGTGTCAGACGACGTACAGCCAGAAGGCCGGGCAACCCAAGTGACCTTGTCATCCGGAGAACGGTGTCTGGAGACAAAAGCCCCGACAGGCAGCGAAGCCGAAAGAAAAGTTTGGCAAGCGGCAGCAGGAACCTCAACAAGCGCCGTGACCTCCTCCGGATAGGCAACCGCACCGTGAGTACGGATGACCTGCTGAAGGGCCACAACTGGCAGGGCGACGGATGACAGGACCTGTGGCCGGGCATGGGCCTTAGCAAAGAGCAGTACTCCTTGACCAAAGTGAGGCGGCAAACGACAACGTCAGTGGCGCCCCCAAGCACGTTAGGAGAGTCGTCAAACTGGGCGACCGCGCGAGGCTCGATGCGATGCGGAGCCTCAATGAGAGGACCCAAAGCAATGAGCTTAGCAGGGCGCAGATCGGGGGCCGTAGCACGACCAGATTCAACGAACACATGCGTATCTGCATCCGGGCTATCAAGAAAAAACCAGAGTCATCGGACTCTTGCCGCCGGTGGACGACAAGGCAAGCTGGACGTCGTTAAATTCGGAAGAACTCAAAAACCAACACGACGCCGGGACCCTCGACCTGCCAGACAAGAAGGTGCGCAAACTGTTGACAGAGGCGGACCATTGAGACTGACACAGGCGGGGGCGAGGGTGAATGGCCTGCCCAGGAGACTTTGGCGGAACAGTACTGGGAACAGGGGCAGGCGGCGGCGCGGCAGGGCTGGAGGACTCAGAATTGGCCTTCAGGAGACGGGTGAGGACGGTTCGAATGGCGGCATCACCGGGGCCTGAGAGTCAACAGTGCGGTGAAAGCCAACAAGCTGCGACCACAGGGAAGTACCAGACACAGCCGGCGCACGAGGTCGTCGGGGTCGTTGCCGAAGACGTCGTTTAGGCCGCCGCACCGATTCACGCAATTGAGCGACGACCTGGTGCAGAGAGGCAACTTGTTGGGCCAAAACTTGAACATCCGCAGTTTCAGCCCTGCGGCGGCAGTGGTAGCAGCACCACCGGCACCCCCCAACAGCGGGTCAACACCAGCGGAACCCCGAAGGAAAGCCAGAGGCACACGAAAGCCAAGTGCAGGCAAGGAGCGACCAGGACGGCGTGGACCAGACATGCGACGTCCTCCAACTCGGATGGCAGAAGGGGCACAGAGGCCCATAAGTCCAAGCAGAGGGCCAACCAATGCCAAGCGGAAAAGGGGCCTGCGTGACCCCAACACACGGAAAAGCAGGCATAAATGCACATGAAGGCTCGACCACGGCGGGGATCGGCACGAAGCAAAAGGCTGGCGAGTGAGCGACACTTCAATGCCTTAGTACGCACCTGATGCGCGATGAACGAGAGGACATGTCCTCCCAAAAGCATGCAGCACAGAACAGCCACTGTTGCAAGTCCGCTAGCCTTTCGCACCCAAAGGCCCGTGACCACCGCGAGGAGGTGGGCGGGGCTCCCGATGGGAAGCTTGGCTTTCGGGCAGGCTATGCAAAGTGTTTGAAGTGCAGTAACCTCGATCCCGTGGGTGGTCTGCTGCACGTACACGAAAGGCCAGGGGAAAAAAGCCCCTGCGGCACGTACTCATGCCAGAAGCATGAAAGGAAGGGACCCAAGGAACTAAACCCTAGGGGGCAGGGACAAAGGAACCCAACCGGAAGACACCAGCCTAAACCCAGCTGCTCAGCAGCGCGCCGGAACCAAGCATGCGAGATACCAGGTAGGCGCAGCGGCTACACCACAGCGCAGCCACAGAGGGCACGAAGGCAAGGGCTTAGGGACCTAAACCAAAAGGCGGGCGAGGGGACAAAACCCACTAGCAGGTGGCATGGAGCCCGAAGGGCAGACACCAAAAGCCTAAACCGAAATCACGCCTCACGGTCGGAGAGACCGAGCTGGGGATTGCCTTCCCAGGTATGCGCAAGGACGTGAATGCCAAGCCGGCAGGCCGCAACCTGCATGCAAGCGCGGCGCCGCCGATCGGGGCTAGCTCGGAAGACGACCCACCCGGATTTAGCAGTGCAGCGCGGTTGTCGCGTGAACCACCCTGGAGGCAGAGAAAACTCGCGAGAGAGACTCAAGCGCATCGGCTGGAATTGCGGACAAGGAGCCCACCAGTGCCCAAAAGAGGCCCAAGGCACACCACAGAACGGACAAGACGTGTCAGCGCCAGGAATGCTTTGCCGGCGCGCGGGGAGGACACCGCACCACCACGGAAGATGCGGAGGAAAAGGCAATGATCTCGAGACAGGGAAGAGACCCAATCGCGCCAGACCCTCTCAGAGGAAAGCGTGAGATCAGCATCAAGAAGGCCTTCAGCGTCTTGACGACTCAAATTGACGTGGCTCAGGCACTTATTGCGGGCAATGAGGCGCAGCGCATGCTGACCGGCCGGTGTACCCCCGTCCACGACACCGCCCCATCTGGGAGGAAACCCGGACGACAGGAGCTGGCGGACGCGACGATCGCCATGAGGAACCCGAAGAGTGTAAGAGCTGCGAACGGGTTCCTGAACCTCAAGCCCAAGCTGCGCAGCATGAACTTTTACACAGGCCAAAAGCTGAGGAGTGCAAGGGAGGGCAGCAGCACGCGTGAGGGCCGCGACCGCACTGCCATACTGAGGCTGAAGATCAACATGATCGGCGAAAACGCGCGCACGACACCACCACGTGGAGCAACTGCAAAGCCACGCTGAATGCGGAGCGTGACATCCCAGGGCGGCGACTGCAGCAGCGGAAGGGGCCACTCCCACATGGGCTTGATAAAGACACGAGCGGCGGTAGCCCGTATGGCGAAACCCCCAGGCAGACGAGGCAGGAGGGCAATTAAGTCCAAGACAGGCCCCATCCAGCACGCAGGTGAGGGGGCTCAAGGTTCGCAGGCGAGAGGCGTAAACCAAGGTGCTCAACAGACTCGGCAGCTTGCCAAAGTTGGCGCTTCCGGAGGTTCTCAACCAGACCCAAAGCTTGGTCACAACGGGCAGTAACGTCAAGGGCAGCTTGCAGCCTTGCAGGGCCGAGAGTACACCGCAAGGATCTGTCATCGACATAAGCCCATGCAGCAATGCCGGGGCAGTCACGGGCCAAAAGAGTGTGCCACGGACGCAGCACCTGGGCAAGCACATTAGGTGAAGTGGGGTCCCCCTGTGGGATGCTGCGGGAAGGCCGGAAGGGCTGAGCAAGAGAACCCCTAAAACAACAGAACCTATCCCCAGCCCAAACCCTACGAAGAAAACCAACCACAGAGGCTGAAGTGCCAGCGTGTAGCAGAGAGGCGGCGGCGGCCGACCACTGCACGGTGTCGAACGCCCGAGACAAGTCCAACTTAGCACCGCGGTGACCCGGATGAGATCGGATGAGACCACCAGTCTAGCACGGCATGAATGACTCCAACATGAGGCCGGCCGCCCCATTGACCATGAGGCAGGTCAGGAAACATGCCCAACAGGGAGCGCTGCCACGCACGTAACAGGACGGAACCGACGGCAACAGGACGCACTGCGTCAGCGTCACGCTTGGGCACACCAACAAGGCGCCAAGAAAAGAAACAGCTCCAAGCCTCAGCATCCCGAGATGTGGACTCAGGGCTCACCACGGCAACACATAAGATCTCGTAAAGCTCACGAATGAGTTGAGGGTAGTGCGCAAGCAACCACTTGACTTCACGAGCGGTCCAACCGTCCAAACCGGGCGCACCGCTGGACCGAGCCACGGCGGACACGAAGTCCTGGTAAGACACAGCAAAAGGCAGGGAAACAGCAGAAGTGAGCCGTGCCTCGTCGGCCAAACCACGCCATGCAGCTGCAAAGTCAGGAGACGCAGCGGGGGCCTCGGGCCTGAAGGTATGCAGCCAATCAGCACGAAGGTCCTCACCGGTAGAAGGGAGCGCAGCAGGAGCAGGGCGCAAAACAATCTTGGCCGCCTTGACGGCCCGAAGATTCCACTGTTGAAAGGCCTGCTTCCACGTAGCAGTAGCCTGGCGGGAAGCCTCCAACCCAAGACGCGTAATGGCCGCGGAAGCATGTCGCAGGGCTTCTTCCTGAGAGGAGGTAAAACATCGGTAAGGCCCATCGCGGCGAGCAGCCATCCAATGACGAAGCTGGGCAGCGCATAGGGCGACAGGGCCGTGAGACCGCCATTGCTCAGCAGCAGCCCTATGGAGGCGACGAAAGAATGCTGTCAGTCCGAGGGCCTTTAAAACCAGCAACGACAGGCTTGAAAGACACAGCCGAACCTTTAGGGCGCAAAGCTTGGCGTTTGGGAAGGCTATGCAGCAATGGCCTTTTGGCAAGAAGCCACAAGCTCTGGCATTGGGGAGCTGCTGGCTTGGGCAAGAAGCCCAGAGACTCCGGATTCCAGGAACTGCCGCAGCCAAACTTGAAGCCTCTGCCTGATTCCGATTCTATATAAACAGAGCCGTTTCACAAAGCCGGCCAGGGTATCCCTTACGACTGTTACTACTATTAGTACTATTACTTATACTATTACAACTACTGTTACTACTCATGGCTAGTGCTGCTACTACGAACCCCAGACACGGCCAGATGTTTATTATTCCCACCTCCCAACCCAACCCCTGCCCCAAGAGACCCCTGCGCAAAACAACCTCAGTGGGGAAGGATTTATTAAATCCAATCCAACATTACAGACTGTGCCTAGGTTACAATGATAAGTTAGTCCTCGCCCTTCTCCAGCGCTATCTCTCTCTCGCGCTCTCTCCCCTCCCGCGCTACCCTGCCTTGAAGCCCTGGTGAGGGCCACTCCAGCTCACTTGGCAAACCTTGGCCGTGGGCAGGGCCCAGCCCGAGAAGCCATCGAAGGTCCGCCACAAGGCGTCCACGGCCACGCCATCCACCAAGTTCACGAAGGCGTAGCCGAGGTTTGCCTGACGGTAGAAGTCGCAGGGCAGGTAGACGAAGTCGTAGCGACCGGCAAAACCGTGCTCGTCCAGCATGGCCAGGAACATCTCGCGGCTATAATTGTTGGGCACATTCCGCAGCATGAGGGTGGTGCGCTCGGCACCTGCATGCTTGGCGTCCCGGCCCGTCCCTGCTGCCGGCTGAGGTGCTGGCTCTGCCGGTGCTGCCGGAACAGAAGGTGCACTAACAGCCTCCTGCGCCTCAGCACGCTCATCGCTGAATCTACCTGGATAGTACGGCTCCTCGTCTGCAACGGCTCCCGTCAAGAGCGAATCCGTCATTGCTCGGCGCAGCTGCCTGTAGCGCTGCATCAGGCTTCGGCCATCATCCACATCGATGAACGTGCTCCTCACAACCACGTTGCACGGGCCCTCCTCGTCTTCGCACACGTCAGCCGTACCACTGGAGCGCGGCGATGGGACTTCGGAAGGGCAAGAATCCTCGACAGTTTCAATGTCGCTGTGCTCACCCGCCACGGTGCTTTCCACATCACTGTGGCGGTCTGCGTGCTTCAACTCGGGGACAGCCAGCAAAGTAGGGGTAGATGACAGGCAGGACATGGCAACGGGGGCTAGACAAACGTTGATGGCCGTACTTGACGACTCCAGGTCCTGATCCTGCACTTGCTGTGGAGCCACAGTGACCCGACATACACTAACAAAATGACGGCACTGGGAGAAAAATTGTTGGAGGGCAAGCGGGGAGCCGCCCTCAAAGGAAATGTGGGGTCCGTTCTGCCACCACCAACTATAGACACCCCACCACTATCTTGAAGATGTCTTCGCCAAGAGTTTGCCAGCAAGACCTGCGCAAAGCAAAGGCACAGGTTGCAGCAGCCTGCTTTTCGCACAGATTCTGTGGAGCCTGTATAAGCGAAAAGTAATTCGAATGAGGCCCTGGGCCTGTTGCACAAGAACCAAAATCCTTTGCTAGCCGCAGCCGAGCCTTCCAGCTGCTGGCAGCCCGAAGCATCTGCACATTGCTTCCTAAAGGGCTGCGGAGCGGGCCAAGGCCTCGAAGAGGCTGCGGTCCAGGCTGTACAGTAGCGGGTGAGCCTGAGGCCTCCATGCACGGTCCTCAAAACTCTGGGGGCGCTTTGACCTTCTTGGATGGTCGTGGGAAGTTCTTACGAACCCCGTTCGCGAAGATGACAGGCTTGTACTCGTCAGGGACCTTCTTGTGCATCACGGCACTGTTCCTGTAGCGCTCCACATGCGCCTGGATCGCAAGATCGTGCGCTGAGGCGGGACGCTGGGGGGCCGAAAGATACATAGATAGATAGACAGATAGACAGATAGATAGATAGGCTTGACTGACTGACTGACTGACAGATCGATAGATAGATATGGTTACAATAGATGATAGACTCTGGATTATGGATGATAGTGTATAGATTATAGTGTATAGTTAGAGGTTACAGGTTTTTAATTTCAGCATAGGTTATAGATTATGGGTTATGGACTAGACGTTTTAGGCTATAGGCTGTAGGTCATAGGCTACAGATTAGATCAGGTAAGATCAGATTAGATTGCCCTGGCTGCTTGGATTCTTGGAAATTGTGTATTAGATATTAGAGATTCGACATAAGATGTTGGATATTACATATGTGATATCAGATTAGATTGGCTTAGATAACTTGGACTAGACTAGATTAGAATACCCTGGACTAGACTAGATTCTCTTCGATTCGGTTGATAAACAGACAGACAGGCAGGTAGATAACCAGAAACACAGACAGATAGACGGATACACATACATAAACATTTGTGTATATATAGATATATATATATATATATGCACACACCCACATACATACTATGTATACGCATATGAAAGTTAGGCGGGTCTACGGTGCAAGGAAAGGAAGGAAAGTCCGAAGGGCCTTTGCCAGAGTGTGAAATTCCTCAGCGTTCGTGCCTCCCAACTTTTTAGAAGAAGGTTTAGGGCTTAGAGGTTTTAAGTTTGCCAGCCCTTGCTGCTTTCAACCTTCCTTAGTTCCCTTTCCATCTTGAAGTTCCACACACTTGGCTGCCTTCTTGACTCAGCTGTGGCGGCCCTAGGTATGCTGCCGCCACAAACGAAAGCACCCCCTGCCTTGAAGCCCTGGTGCAGGCCGCTCCAGCTCATTTGGCAAACCTTGGCCGTGGGCAGGGCCCAGCCCGAGAAGCCATCGAAGGTCCGCCACAAGGCGTCCGCGGCCGCGCCATCCACCAGGTTCACGAAGGCGTAGCCGAGGTTGGCCTTGCGCTGGAAGTCGCGGGGCAGGTAGACGAAGTCGTAGCGACCCGCAAAGCCGTGCTCGTCCAGCATGGCCAGGAACATCTCGCGGCTATAATTGTTCGGGACATTGCGCAGAATGAGCGTGGTGTTCTCGGCTGTCGCATGCTTGGAGTCCTGGTCCATTCTTGCCTCTTCCGGTGGTGGCGTCGGCTCTGCCGGTGCTGCCGGCGCAGGAGGCACGGTAGCGGCCTTGTGCGCCTCAGCACGTTCATCGCTGAATCTACCTGGGTAGTACGGCTCCTCGTCGGCAAAGGCTCCCATCAAGAGCGAATCCGTCATTGCGCTACGCAACTGTTTAAAGCGTTGCATCAGGCTTCGGCCATCATCCACGTCGATGAACGTGCTCCTCACAACCACGTTGCACGGGCCCTCCTCGTCTTCGCACACGTCGGCCGTGTTGCTGGAACGCGGCGATGGGACTGCAGAAGGGCAGGAGTCTGTGACAGTTTCCATGTCGCTATGCTCACCCGCCACGGTGCTTTCCACATCACTGTGGCGGTCTGCGTGCTTCGACTCGGGGACTGCCAAGAAAGTCGCTGTAGATGACAGGCAGGACATGGCAACGGGGACTAGACAAACGTTGACCGCCGCACTTTGACGACTTCAAGTCCTGATCCTGCACTTCGTAGGCACACCGAGCCGACATAGCGGACAACCACAGGACAGATGTCGATGCTTACGTTCAGGGCCTCAGAGGACAGGGCATCAAAACTGCAGCACTTTGCTGACCCGGCGACAACATGGAACCTGCTGCCCGCCGTGGTCTGAGAACGCCCCGTCCTGCTCATCGATCAGAGGGTTTCGGTGATAAAAGTTGACGGCCGCGAACCGTATGCCGCGTTCCGGGTTGTCATCGTTCCTGGCCACGAGATGTCAACATCCGCACCGACAAAGACGGCAATCAACCAGCTCAATACTCGAAGGGTGTGATAGAACTTGCCCTTCTTTTTTGCTTCGAAACGCCTACACCCCCAACACTCGAACATGACCCAAAGTCTTGTCGCCAAACCCCCCCTAAGCACTAAAACCCTCAAACCCGAAGCCCTGCACCCCGAACCGTCCGAGCTTCAAAAATCCTCAGGACTTCAGAACCCTAAACCCCGAACCCCTTGTCCTAAATCCTGAGCACCCTCTACCCTTCTACCCTGAACCCTGAACCCGGAACCCTGCAACCCAAACCCTAAACCTCGAGCCGCCGAGACGCTTGCACTGGAACTCGAGGGTCCACTTGTAGGTTCCGTTGGCTGCCACACCCACCTGGTCTTATAGGGTTTAGGATTTAGGGTCTAGGGTTTAGGGTTTCATAGTCCTTACGTTGAGGCATCCCACTATGTAACTGGCTGAGGGTTTAGGGGTTTAGGAAAGTTTATTAGGGTTTAGGAGTTCGCAGTCCTTGCATTGAAGCATCCCACTATGTACTCGGCGTCTCTATATTCCTGGATAGGGTCCCATATAAGCCAAAACCAAGGGAAAAAAATTGCAAAACCCAGGGGAAAAACTATAAACATGTCCCCCCCCAAAGGCCTACCTAGCTAGGGGCCCTTTTTTTTTCGGCTTCGGATCCTCGGACTTCCTTGGGTTTTAAGACGGACGATTTTCTCGGGGGGGGGATATCGAGCTTCGGACTTCGAGGTTCAGGGCTTTCGGGTGTAGGCTTAAGGTTTAGGGCTTACCTAACCCCCCCCCCAAAAAAAAAAAGTAGGTGAAAGAATGGCCCCAAAAAAGCCTCGAAAAGGCTAGTAAACCCTAAACCCTAAACCCTAAAACCTGTGGGGGTTTGGGGCTTTGGGGCGTCGGGCCCCGGGGGGCTCACTGGAGGCAGCTCACAGGGTTTCAAGGGTAATGATCCTGAGAAGAGAGTGCTTTATTCAGTATCTTATAACTAATAACTATCAAGGGCAATGGTCCTTAGAAGAGGGTGTTTTTTGAGTATGTTATACTTTATCTATCAAGGGCAATGGTCCTTAGAAGAGGGTCTTGAGTATATTGTAACTAATAGCTATGACAAGGAACCCTCTGGAGTGCCAAGTACGTAGGACAACCCCGGATTGGGCCGCGGTCTTGGGATTTGGCCTTGGGGCCTAAACGGTTTAGGGCCTGAAGGGTTGAGGGGCCGAGGTCCCACCTTGGTTTAGGGATAAGGGGTTTGGGGATTAAGGCCAAAAATTTGGTCTGTCAGACACAGGGGACACAAATGTAGAACCGCAAAAAAAGAGACGAAAAAGCACCCCTTGATTCAGCCCTAGTTTTGTGTACTCGCCCTGTCCATCTGTCTCAAACAAAAGTGCCGAGCAGCATCCACAAGGGTGTTGGCAATGTCCGTTAAATTCGGATTGAAGAAGGAGTGGCCCGACCTGGAAATGTACGGACCATACACCCAGAAATTTAGGCCAACAACCCACAACCTACTTCGAGGATCTTGGTACCTAGTAAGGCTGTGCATACCTGACTTGGGGTTACATGGTCTTTTTATGACCTAACTTTCTCAGTCCCATGATCCTTTAAGTAGGGCCCCGGAAATTGTCACAGCCTCAGGCCTACGGTAGCATTGCATCTTTTTGGTAGTGTCCTGTAGTTCAGGCCATCCAGGTCTCTGTAGATCATGCATGAGGGGCTGAAAGGTTGGGTTTAGGGTTTAGGGTTTGGGGACCCTAAACCCGACCCTCTAGAGCTCAAAGATCACGGTTTTGGGTTTTACTTCGAGGCTCTGGTGAATGCATACGTGTTTTTGGCTACCGTCCCTGGGTGGACTGTTTGTCGTTATCCACTTCTATCTCTACCTACACCCAGCACTCCGTCCCCCGAGCTTTGAAGCCGGGTTGAGAGCTCTGCCCTTGCGAAGCCTTCGCAAGGCATTGACTTTTGAGGACGTCCTCCTCAAGTTCAGGCTTCTGAGAACTTCTTCGAACACAAACGGCCTACCCTCGTCAAAACCAGGAGAGGTGGAGTTCAGGGAAGGTTTGGCCTCTGATATCTCAAAGAAACTTTCGGACCTGGCCCCTTTCGGTCCAGAGCTGGAGAGGGCATGTCTTTCGAGCTAAGATTGCGAGGCTGGCCCTTTCAAGCCTCTTTAGATTATTCGTAAATACGATCCCCTTAGCCCGAAGAAACGAAAATCCAACATGTCCTAAAGTCCTAAAGCCTACCTAGATTCCATGGCGGCCCAAGGTATTCCAGAGCATGGAACCTTAAACTCTAAACCCCTAAACCCGAAACTCCTAAACCCTAAACGCCCAAACCCTGCAACCTAGCCCCCAAACCCTAAACCCTAAATCCTAGTCCCTAAACCCTAAACCCTAAACCCTAAATCCTAAATCCTAGTCACCTGGAGCCGAGGCTGGCTTCGCCCTTTCCTAGGTGCCTGATTCGAAGGCCTTCGGAAGACTAGGGTGGAGCTCCTTTTAAAGGGGGTGCCTGATTCGAAGGCCTTAGGAAAACTAGGGTGGAGCTCCTTTTTTACGGGGCTTCTTTGAGGGCTTAGGGCGCAATAGCGCGGCCTTAACAGTTAACAAATTAGAATAGAGTTTGGGTGTATACCAGGAGATAGCCTAAACCCTAGACCCTAAGCCTTAAACCCTAAACCGTGGAATAGTATTAGTAATCATTGAGGCCTGTACTATGAAGCCCCCTGGAGCCCTGAGCCGCGAACCAGTGTCCGAGGAAGACCCCCGGCTGGCTCGTGATGTTGAACCTGGCAACACCACACGGGCTTAGGGTTTAGGGCTTAGGGTTTTGGGTTTAGCACCCTAAACCCTAAACCCGCTCAGGGCTTGGGGCTGAGGGTTTAAGGCTTAGAACTGCTCTTTCAGTTTCGGGTTGAGCCAAAACCCCCCAAAACCCCTAAACCCCTAAACCCCTAAAACCCCTGAATCCTAAGACCCTTGCCAACCCTTTTGTTTTTGACTGACTCTCCCATGGGAGTTAGGATTAGGGAGACCCTTGCGGATATAGACCCTCTCAATAAGCGTCCCTTTTAAGAGAGCCACAAGTAGGGTTCAGAAGGGTCCCCCCTTAACCCTAAACCCTAACCTCTAAACCCTAAACCCTAAGCCCTAAACCCTAAGACCCCCTTTAAGGGGTCTCTCTAATACTACCTAGGATTCCCGGCCAAGGCTCTCCAAATCGCAGACAGCATTGATCCCTCGGCCGGGCCCGACGTTCAGGGAAAAGAGGTCCTGGTGAGAGGGTTTAGGGGTTGAGGAGTTACGTAGGGTTTAGGGCTTTAGGGGTTTAGGGGTTTAGGGCTTTAGGGCTTTAGGGGTTTAGGGGTGTAGGGGTTCGATGCCACGTTCAGGTTCGAGGCTTTCTGGCAGTTGGGAAGAGGGCTGTTGAGGGCTTTCGTACGTAGGTAGTTCTCTAAATTAGGGCACCTTTTTGGGGTTCCTTCAAGGGATCTCTCAGGGTTTCTATAGGGTTACTTTAAGGGTACGATAAGGGTAGTTCTCTCAATTAGGGCCCCGTTTTGGATCCCAAATATAGTACGGCACCCTTGTAAAGAGGATCCTGAAAGGGGGGCGCTAATTTAGAGAACTACCCATGTAGGGCGGGAGGGGCCTCGGGGTTTCGGGCTTGTTGCCTTAGAGTTCGGTGGCATGAGCTTGGATCAAGTCAGACGGCTGGAACAGTTGGACTGGGTTGCGGAGTCTACAGTTGATGATATAAAGCCTGCATTACCCGTAAGAAGGAAAACACGATAATTCCCATAGTTTAGGGTCCTGAAGGCCATGCAGGAATTATACCATCGACAGGATCACACAATAGCTCTATGGCTGAGAAACGAGCAGGGTGAAGATTGCTTCTAAGTAAATCCAATTCTTCGGACTTCGATGCTTAAAGGGCCCTTCAGTTTCTGACATCTTTTTCTGCTGAGGTCGGGAGTTGCCCTAAACCCTAAACCCTAAACCCAAACAGGAGTTGCTTGAGGGTTTAGGGCTCAGGCGATCTATAGCCATTCGAGCTTCACCGATTTGGAGTAGGGTTCGCGGCTCCGGGTTTGAGAGTTTAGGGTCTGGAGGCTTTAGGGATTCCGGGTTTAGGGCTTAGGCGGGTTTAGAGGTTTATGGTTTGGAAGCAGGTCACAGGGTTTTTTGGTTTGAGGAGCTGGCATGGGATGTCCTGCACCCAGTATTTATGCAGAAGCTACAATCGACAATTCCAATGACGACTCACTGCCACTGAAACCAGAAGCTAGCGCCACAGCAGGGAACACCGTCGAGTTGACCAAGTACTGTCGACCGACAGGGTTATTCGCATTCCTGCACTACCCATAACAAACTTGA